ATGTCCCACTTCACACTTCTCTAGTAAGTTTCGTCTGTGTGTGTGAAGACAGTAGCACAATTCCATGAATGAATGTTCCGAAGTGAAATAAACTTCAACGGAATAAAGTTGAATGGAATTGAATTGAATTAAAGTTGAATAAACTTCAACTTTACTGTTCAGTGCACTGATGTCAGACTCATTTTGGATAGTAAAATTTATTGTTAAATTGTTAAATGCCCTTACATATCTCTGTCACCATTATAAGTGTTTGATCACCACATTTGAGTGATCATTGCAAAAAATGTGTTTATGTATATATATTCTGTTTATGTATATACTGTATTCTATATATAGTACCAGTCAAATGTTTGGACACACGAATGGGAAAGTGTCCAAACTTTTGACTGGTACTGTACTATAATATACACAAAGAATATCGGCCGATATATCGGTATCTGCCTTTTTTACAGCCTAATATCGGTATCGGTATTGGCCCCAAAAAACCCATATCGGTCGGGCTCTAATAAAAAGTCAACATTGTAACTAACAGGGCACTAAGTAATCTGGGATGTTTGTGTGCATTGGGAATCATATTTTTTCAAATAAAGCCATGGCAACAGTCATTTTACATACAGCACATAGTGAAAATGACATGAATATGACAGTTGACAAATGTATAAAAATCCGTGTATCATTCGTCCACTCGTTTTTTTGATTTAATATTGAAAGTAGAAAAATTAGAAAACAGCTCCTTTTTTTGTTTTTCGTTTTTTTTCAAAAAACGCTAATTTTCAGTTTTTCATTCAGGGGTAGAAAAATGAATAAACAGCTTGAATATTCAATTTCTACACGTGGGCGGGAATTAAACGCCCCTTTCTGCTGATTGATCAGCTTAAGATCAAACCCAGAGCCGTAGACAAACAAACTTACTGGGTGACCAGGGTAGGCAATGACAGCCATCATATACTGACACGCCCAGCTGATGCAAAGCATAGAATTTATATCTACACAGAAGAAAGCCCTGTCTAGGCTCTGCCCCGGTACAAGTTGTGTCGAGCCATTCATTTGTCTGGTTGTTTGATGAGAAAAAGATTAAATGTAGTTGCAATAAATGCATTAAGAATCCGTAGACCTGCAGCAGCGGAGGACAATTATTCTGCCTCGCGGAACTGCGGAAGAACTGATGACGGCGCGGTTTGATCTTAAGTTGACCAATCAGCAGAAAGGGGCGTTTAATTCCCACCCATGTGTAGAAATGGAATATTCAAGCTGTTTATTCATTTTTCTACCCCTGAACGAAAAACTGAAAATTAAGCTGAATTCTTGTTGTTCATTTTTTGGGGAAAAAAAATGAAAAAGGAGCCGTTTTCTCATTTTTCTACTTTCAATATTAAATCAGAAAATGAGTGAACGAATGATACACGAATTGATAAAGCGCAGCATAATTTGAAATCACGAGTTTAAATTTTGTCGATCACGCATCTCCAGTGAGGCTGAAATCTCCTCCTATCCGCATTCAATTCGCACAGACCGACCGTCACGCAGAGCATACACGATCATGCAGGATACAAATGCACACTTCACAAGATCTCAACTAGATTCGACTAAGTTTGCAAGGTTTGTGAAATTAAATGTTCATTAATAGACATTCAAAGATTAGTTCAAATGATTTAAATGCGTATTTGCTGAATGCTGATGGCAAACGAGACAGTATTATAATGTTTGCTTTTCTATTACTAATAATATAACAGCAATCATTATAATACTTTTTTGTATACATTTTAATTCCTTTGTTTAACCGTTCTATCTGATTATTAGACAGACTTCTATCCGTATTAGACAGAACTGTTAATGGCGACAGCGAA